GGAAAAATACACAGAACATCTAAAGCAATTATTATTACAAGATGGCACGATTATTTTTAGATTATTTAAATCACTTATTTGTATTTTACTGTTATTATAAATTTTATTATTATAATTTACCTAGTAATAAACTGGTTGTATAACTAATGTTAATCACACAATTTATAAGGCAGTCTGGTATTTTTCTACAATCACCTCATTAATTTTGTTAATTATACCCTATAAATTGTAAATATATTACGTCGTCTGTCTTGTTTTAATAATTAAACCCAGGTAGAAACATGCCATTCAGGCCCGTAGCCAGGTCCTTCCAAGGGGGGGGGGGGGTTTCTGGGCGTGAGGTCCACGGTCGAAGCCCCGGTGGGGTCAACAAACCCCCAAAAACAAGAGGATTTTTGTGCTTTATGGGTCTAAATAATGCTATAAAAGCATATGTTTGAAAACGCCTGTGTCTGGGTGGGTCTGGAGTGCATTAGTTGGGTTGGAGGACTTATTTGGGAAATTTAGAGAGAGGGGTTTGCCATAAAAGAGGGTGTTTGCTAGAAAAGGGGGTTCTCCCGAACCATAAAAACCCCCTGGATACGGGCCTGTCATCTGCTGTATGTATGACGACAAATCTAAGAAATCTTTATCAAATGTATTGTCTTTAGCACAATATTTCAAAAAATAAACTCACATAGGCCTACTGTACATACAAACTACTTTTATATATTCTTGCCCAATCACCACACCGCCGGTGATTATAGCAAGAGTAGTAGTTCTTATATTTAATAATAAATAAATGAAATGCCCAAATTAGCTAGGTCATTAATAAGCCTATCGAATTTTTTTTCCACGAACGTACTACTTCAACCCATCTACTGTATAAAAAGTAGGCCTATATGCAGAAATGTTTTTAAAAAGTCAGCCTTAAAAAAAAAAAACCCACACTATTTATGTAACATTAAAAATTAAATAAAAAAATATATATATAAAATAAATAAATATAAATAAAAATAAATATAAAATTGTATTCTAAAAAAATCAGAGAATGAAAAAAAATCCGTAGTCGGCAGGATTCGAACCTGCGCGGGAAGATCCCAATAGATTTCTAGTCTATCGCCTTAACCACTCGGCCACGACTACTCACCCGACTTCCTACGTGTCGCTTTATATTTATATTAAATATTACTATTGAACTTTTTCCAACAGATAAAATTTCGTTATTTTTCAGTCTTCGTCTTCAATTTTGGGAATAGTACCTTGGCCTCAGTAAAAACGTACGGTATTTGATCAAAACGTCGACTTGTGAATGACAATATGACTGCTTTAAAGACAGCGTTGCGTAGCGCAGACAGAGCAGGCCTCTCCGGCGAGGCTGGCCTTCTAGCGCTAGGAAAGGAGGACGTTATTCTCTCTACTAGCCTACTTTCACCCTTGGCTATACCTGGGCAGGCGTAACCTCTGCGGTAGCACACTCATATAGTGCCCGTCGATGAGACCCGTCCCTGTCTAGCCTATACTAAAAAAGGCAGCCTAGGGCCTAGACTAGCTCAGGGGGTGGTAGTAGGAAGTCCAAAGCCCTACTCTACAGATCATTTCGGTCGCGTCGCGCTTCGTTTCGGTCGCGGTTTGTTTTCAACAAATATATGGAGCGCCAATGGAGTTGCGAAAACGCTTAATTTAATATAACTAGGCCTAATTATTATTGTCAGTTCGTCAATCGGTTTATCATACTTTTTTATAATTTATGTTTTGTTGTCTTTCTACTATAAATAAGCTAAAAACATAGGCTATTTAAAAGCAAATAAAATCAATACTAGGGGTCATTCAAGTATTATGTACGCAAATTCAACACAACTGTGTTACATTACATTGTATTACACTGATGTAATATGTTTCAATAAAGTAATATCATACAAGTTTGAATATTTAATATTTTTTCTCTTCCCATGAAAATTTATTTTGTTATTTAACACTTCAAGCAACACCCCCACCCCTATGTCTCACACTGTAACATAGACTAATCTATTGACTATACTTCTTCCATACATCTTTATTTGATTTAAGCATTAAAAATTATATCAATAGACCTATATATATATCGCAACAAGAAAACGTATCTCAAACTCGGTCAACTTCGTAACATCTGCGTTGTTCTGTAAAAAAAAAAAAGAAGAAAAATAGCACCAAGTGATAAAGTAATATAGTAACAAAAATAAACTTTAATACTAATAAAAATAATTGTTAATAAACTAATGTTAACTAA